GATTTAAAACTTATCAATCTGATAATTTTTTTCTGTATATTCTGTATTTTCTGTAGCCTTGTTGGGTACGTATTACCCCATACTAGATTCCCATAAGTGAGATATGGATAAACCAATGCATAATAAATCAACTTAAGTGTATTTTTATTTGTGTAATGTCGTAGTTTTGCTATAAGTGCCGCAGATTTAATTATATGTTTAGCAACCGAATTTATATGGTTTTTCCATGTTAATTCACAATCTAAAATTACACCTAAAAATTTGATATGAGAAGCCTGTTGTATAATGTTATCATTAAGTTTAATATCGATTTCAATGTCGCATTTTTTATTTCTTGATTTAAAAATTATATACTTAGTTTTTGTTGTATTTATAGATAATTTATTCAGATTTTTGTTGTATTTATAGATAATTAATTACTTCATTCATTTCTTCTTGCATAACATGTGTTAATGATTTTAAGCATTTGTCAGAGTGAAATGCATTAGTGTCATCAGCATACATAACAAAGGATATAATTTTACTACAGTTTTCAATATCGTTAATATATAACAGGAAAAGTAGTGGCCCAAGAATAGAGCCTTGCGGAACTCCTGTAGATATAATCAATTTGTTTGATTTATGATGACCAAATTTAACAATTTGCATTCTTCCATGTAGGTAGCTTTCAAACCATTTTAGGCAATTTCCTCTTATGCCATAATGTTCAAGTTTTTTTAGGAGAATATCGTGGTTAACTGTATCAAAAGCCTTAGATAGATCAAGGAAAATACCAATTGTATATGTTTTTCAATATATGAAATTAGTCTTTTATGCATTATTTTTTCAAGTAGTTTTGAAAAACATGTGAGAACTGAAATTGGTCTGTAATTTTCAAACAGGTATCTTTCATTTGCTTTAAAAATAGGAGTAACGATAGCTATTTTTAGTGATTCCGGGATTACTCCGGTATCAAACGTTAAATTGAAAATATTTGCAAGAGGTTTGCAGATTTCTTGTTTTATAGTTTTTATCATTTTGGCACTTATATTATCATGTCCTGCACTTTTATTTGTATTTAAGTTATCAATCTCAGTCAGTATTTCAAGTTCAGTAACAGGCTCAGCAAACGTACTCTCTCTATAGTTTCCTTTGAGATATTTTTCAAATGATATTGTATCCTTTTTTCGAATACCTTTTGCCAAATTTGGACCAACATTTACAAAATATTCATTAAATTTGTTAGCAATTACGGTTGGGTCAGAAAAATTAATATCTGAGTTCTTTTGTTGAAACACGTGAGAAAGTTTTTCCTTCTTTTTATTTTTATTCAGCCGGTTTATTTATTGTTTGCCATGTCATTTTGCTATTGTTTTTGTATTTAATAAATTGATTTTCAAAGTAATCTTTTTTACTAATTTTAATTAAATGTTTTAATTTATTTTTGTAATTTTTGTAAATAGTTTTGTTCTTTTCACTTGGGTTTTTTAGACACTTTTTATAGAGTCTGTTTTTAATTCCAATAGACTTAGAAATACCTTGAGTCATCCAAGGGCTTTTATCGTAATTAATTATATTTCGTTTTTGCCGTTTTACTAAAGGAAAGCTTTTATCAAACGCTTGTATTAGTTTATTATGGAAATTCTTGTATGATTCAGAGGGGTCATTGTCTTCAACAATAGTATCCCATGATATATCTTTCACAGAATTAGAAAATAATAGAAGACTGGCATTATTAACTATTCTTTGATGTTGCGAAGTTTCAACTTTAGAGCTGTACATTTTCGTTGGGAAAGATGCAATATGAAAAACTGGAAGATGATCTGATATATCACTAAAAACTAATCCATTCTTACTGGATTCAATTTGTTCTAGATCATTAGTGAATATATTGTCAATTAATGTTGCGGTATGTTCAGTTATCCTAGTTGGTCTTGTAATAAGAGGCAAAAATGATGACGTAAAAAGTTGCTCATTGAATCTATTCGAAAAGTCACAACTTTCAGTTTTTAAGAGGTCAATGTTAAAATCGCCCATTAAGTAAGTTATTAATTAAGTTATTAGACTGATTAAAAGCCTCTATGCAAATTTGAAATGTGCAGTCAAGCTATCTAAATCAAGAACAGAATTCTTTTCATACTCTAGGGGTGTACGCCAAGGATGTGTACTAAGCCCAATTCTGTTTAACTCATTAAGCGGCAATGCGCCCGAATGCACCCTGAGATTGGCAAGGGGGTAAGCGGCAATGCGCCCGAATGCGCCCTAACATGACTCCTTAACTTGCGGGCATGATATTTGAGCACGTGTTTATCGGGTTGCCTAGCAACGGATACGAAAATAGAACGTGAAATTCGAGCTTTTCAACGGTGTATCATGCAAGAAAATCGGCCAAAAACTCGCAAAGTTTTTCAAGTTTAAAACCTTAGTTTTTCAAAAATAATGAATAATGGCGATACTGTTGCAAAGAATGGTTTTACAGCAAGTTTTAAAAGCGAAGAAAGAAGAGGTTTTGGAATCATCTACAACGAAAATTTGGCATGAAAGGAAAGCGAATGTATTGACGTTTTGGGGCCAAGTTCTTCTGTGAACCATGCGCGAGATTTTCAGCCAAAAAGATGAGGATTTCTCCAAACTTTATTAAAAATAGAAGTCGGAAATCACAAGAAAGATGAACACGGAACTCAAGTGAGCAGATACGATATTTTTAAGGGTATTTTTGAGTAGAAATATGCGATCAAACACTCACAAAATTCGACCGCATTAAAGTTGGTTGAATCTAGTTTAAAGTTATCTTTTTAGACGAACTGTTTATGCAAATTTGGGCACAATTTCGACTGTTTTCGTAACCCCATTGTTGGTCTTCTTGTTCAAGTTGTTATTTTAGCTAAAGTATGTTTCAAACGACACCAGATTAAATTACTGTGTGCGTACGTGCCCTTTTTGGCAAGAATACTTCGAGTATTAAATTACACTAAGTAAGTAGGACACTCCAAAATCACTGTTATATCTATTTTCATCAATTTAGTCTTAAAACGACAACTCGTTTCAGACATATTGTGGTTTAAAATAAGTGTATTGAATTAGTGCGCTTGCTTGCCACGTGCGAATTTTCAAAAAGTCTGCACTTGAGTTCTAAAGCTTTTAAAACGCTTTTTCTATTGGGTTTTATATCCCCATAAAACTTTAAATCGATAAAGCAGATAATAATGTTGATGCAACCTCATTTTCTAGTAACTACATGTTGAATCAGAAGGAAAAGTTATCAAAAATAGGTCGCGACCGTTGCTTGCAAAATGCCGCTTCTCTCTGAAATGGCTTCCTTTGCGGGAAGCCATGAAATTGAAGTCCTAACAAAAACATAGTTTAGCAGTTCTTTTGGGCCCATAGCTCACTTATTTATCATGAAATCGCTTCACTAGAACATTTTTAATAATGTCTATGGGAAACTTTGTTATTTTCTGGAACTAAAAGTATATGGTTTTGAGGTGTTTATTTTATAAGATAGCACGCGCGACAAAATGGCACTAATGTGGTTTCTCATGTCTGACAAACAACCAAAGATGAAAGTCCTTATTTCACCCTTTTATAGCTATGTTGAATACCTGAATATTAGGTTATCTTTTTCATTTGAGCATACAGATAACATTTCTACACAATTAGTCCTAATGAAAGCTTATTTCAAACTAAAAAAAAGCGATTGTTTTTCAGAGCCAGACTTCAAAAGAGAACGCGTGTCTGACATTTTATAGCAGCCTACATTGGCACGCAAAATAATTTTGGCTAAAAACCGTTTCTTTCCAAACAGAAACATGAGAAAATTGAGCTAAAAGACTTACCTGATGTATGTTTAAAATGTTTTTCTCTTTATGGTGTTTTTCATTGCTTTGAGTAGAGAAGTGAATAACTTTTGGTTTTGTCACCGCAATTTGCCTTTGAAAATGTCGGCTGTCATTGTCTGTGTTAAAAACACCTCAGAAAATTCCTATTTTCTCACCTTCCCATCCTTGGTTTATATTGAAAATAAATAAATTCTAGTACCATATGTCCTTTTAAATATATTTGAGGTAATTAAAAACTCCAAAGATGAACAAGCACTGTGTTTTGGCTTGCACATTTTGTTGAATTTGAACACTTAGTTACTGTTCTAAATTTCATGTTGTAAATATCTTGCCCAAAAAAAGCAAATGAGTATTTTTTATAATTTTTGATCGTTTTCTAATTCATATCCCAAAAGATGAAAATTGGTTATAATATAGATATGTACTAATTTAGTAAATGATTTTTTTTTTGGTTTTTATATAAATTAAGGAGATATTGCCCCTTTAGGTGATGAGTGACATGAAAAAAAAAGTGTCACTGCTTTACAAATAAAAATTCTCATTGAAAAAACTAATGATATATGTAGGTATGCAAAGTCATTAGACAGATTTAGATCGAGGACGTCGACGTGAAGAGGACGCGGGATGGCGTCATATGCCGCGAAAATGTGGCGTTGTCATCGATGGCGACGTCGTCTTAGCACTTTTCAGGACGTCAAAATCAATTTTTCACGTCGTGTTTAGGACGTCAGTTTTTTCTTGATTTTTTAAAGACGAAAAAGGTATGTACATGATAAAACTTGCATCAGTGATGTTGGTAATCTATTATTTTTCTCTATTTTCGAAATAATATGAACGTATGATGTTTAATATGCGCATAATTAACATAGTAAGACGCACCAAATTTGTTTCCGGCTTTACGGAATATGGCTGATCATGTCTCAAAACAAACACAACAAGAAACAACATATTGTGTAGTTTGATGCCGATAAGAACGACATTACTTATCTAACTTTTAAACTTGCATTTTATTATTTGATATATCGTTTTATGGGCAATCGTTTTATAGTTGATATTCAATCGATTTTATTTACTTTTTATTTTGTAATTTGTATTGCTGTATTTATAAAGTACAATATTGAAAGTATATACTGTAGTAATAAAATAGTGCAATGTTTTTTTGTTATCTTTTTAGGGGCAGCGATGTCTGTTTTACAACTGGAAGAGAACAAGAAATCTCTGAAGAAAAGGTAAACAAATCAAACTAACTTCAACAATGGTAGAGTATTAAACACTTGAATGAATGATGACTTCACTTGGTGTGTAGAACTAGTATGGTGTGTTGGGTTTATAATCCAAGTGAGTACATTCGCAATTTAAGACCTGACCAGGAACAATTGCAGAAAATGCAACACTAGGTTCTCTGGTATTAAAAAATCGAATCCATAGCCTTGTGATTCCAGAAAAATTGATATTGTTTGTTTACATTTATATTCACTGTTTCTAGCATGGTATGGTCAAAGGCAAAAGATCTAATCCTACTGAAAGAAATTGCAGCAGAAGGTGTTATGTCAAATAAACCCCGGTCCAGAGAGCGTGGTATGCAGTGGCAAAGAATTGCCGATAACATCACTGCACTAGGGCAAGGAGTCACATCACGGGCAGTCAGAGATCACTACAATGTGATGGCAAAAAAGTATAGGGCAAGAATGGCACAAGAAGAAAGATCAACGGGTGAAGGTGGTGCTGAACTGACAGAGGCTGAAAGTTTGTTGGAGGAATTGATCCATATTGAAAGGGAGATGGAAAGACAGGTTGAAAATGAAAATGAAGAAAACCAACAAAGGACAACCTCGTTCCCAGGGCTTTTCCCTTTTTGTCATTGGGAAGGCGGGAAAAGGCCCTGGCACCGGCCGGTCACATGACTTTCAACACCCAGATATAGTGGGTGTAATAAATTATAATAATAATAATTAGAAAATCCAACATGGCCGCCAACCTAAGAGTGTCCACAAAATTTAAGTGCATAGAGCGGCTTAAAAATGCGTTTAGTCTTTGAAATTTTTCCTTCTTTTTGCTACCGACGTACTCGAAATCAGATTCTTCAGCTTTTATTACGTGGGAACTATGTAGTTGCTGTTCTTCCAACTGGGTTTGGTAAATATCGTTCGTTCGCTAAACAAAATTAACAGCCAATTGAGCAAAAATATAGCATTACGACAGTCGACAGATGTTCTCCAGCTGGACAGGCTTGCCTAAGAGGACACGGAAAGTGTTTTGAACTGGGGATGTTAAACTTGGTTTTACCCTTCCAAAGACTCTGCTGTGCGATGATTGGAGCGAGTTTATGAGGAATATTTTATACAGTGATTCAAAGAAATGTTTTTGCATATACTGTATATGTTTATATTGATCTATTGTTGAATGTCACTTATATTATAAAGTGCCAATGGTTGGAATATTTATTCATTGATATTTTAAACACAGATGAAGTGTTATATGCTCTTTCCTTGTTTACGTTTTCCTTGCAGCCAAATGTTGTTGAAGCTGGCAAGCTGCAAAACTGACATATGAGTGATATGACCCAAATATTGGATATGCATCTTAGTTTGCTTCCAGTAAAATGTAAACAAGACCTTAAGAATTCTATATGAGATAAGAAATATTACGTTTAAAATCATGACTGGCAAATTAGCATGTGCAAATTGATGCTTCCTAATAATAGTATGTACTCCAGTAAAGCTTGCTTGCTTCAATTCTTGCTGTTACCATCTGCACATTATCAGGGTGGAGAGTTGATTTGAATTTTTTGTCCCAGGGGATAAAGGTAGGGAATAGATTTTCCATAACAAAAGGGGCAAGGTGCCCAACCAGTTAGAAGATGGCATGTACTTTAAGTGACCATTCATTATACCCTAGGGTGGGGTGGGAGATTCTTATGTCAAAATGTCATGGGACCCCTTTTTAATCTCTTAATTTAATAATGGAGACCCCTCCTAAATATTTAAGACTATATAACATGATGCAATTCTAATCTTCATTCATGTGAATGCCTGACTATGAAGAAAATACATTTTGCAACACAGGGATGGATCCAGCATGATCTGGTAGGGGGGTGGGGTGCTCTGCCAACTCTGGTGCCGAGTTGTGTTGGTCATGTGTGCCGCCCGCCCATCAACTTGCTTCACTACTGCAAAGTCTTGCTTTACTACTGTATTTGAATTGTAATTGTTGTTCACAGCTCGCTTATCATCATGTTATTACTCAAATTACTGTATCTCATTTTGCCTGTAATAATTTTTGCTTTATCATGAAAAATAGAACCCCCTGCACCCCCTCTGGCCAGGGCTAGGGGAGTTCACAGCCCCCCCCAGTAAATCCATCCCTGTTGCAACATACACTACAAGAGCTAGAATGATTGCTTCCTTTGGATGATTTGTCTTAGAATTATATTACCTATATTACAACAATTCTTCCTATTCTGAAACCAGTTGCTATTCTGTTTTTTACAACACTCACCCCCCCCCCCCAGAAAAAAAAACCTCAACAAATCAAGGACCCCTTCCAAGGCAATTTTGCCAGCAAAATAGATTTAATTTGATGGTAACTGTTCTGAAAATATATTAACTCATTGAGTGGCAGCATTCTGCCTAGACTTGCCACAAGTCGACCTCGAACGAAACGCAAGCAGCGAGTGTGAGCCGACGTTTCGTTCGAGGTCGACTTGTGGCAAGTCTACATTCTGCCCTTGAGTAAAATTGTCTGGCACCAGATGGAGTAATATACTAAAGTAGGGCACATTGCCACTATAAAGGGTTAAACAAATTTAAAAAAATTTTGCAATGGTCTATATTCAAAAAGCTCTATTTGTAAATTTTAATTGACTTTTATATACCTACTTATACTTATAGCTACCTTGCCCCAGTCACTTCAAGTGAATTCTACGGGAGGAGGGGGACATTGAAAATCCCTGGGTTTACTTGGTAAAAGCAAGAATTGAACCATGCATTACATGTATATGGAGAGCAGTTTTAAATATATTTTATCATGCAAATACCTTGATAATTGTTCTTAAACGTCTTTGGCTTAGAATGGGTACACCCTCCAAAGGTGTTTATTTACAGGGTCCAAAGGTGTAAATATACACTGTCCAAGGTGTTAATATAAACAACAAAAACAATGTATATAATTAAATTTTATTAAATAAAATGTGGAATATTTTACAAATTGCATTACCATCCCAAAGTGTACATAATTTATCAATATAATTAGGACTTAGAAGCTGTTCACATGAGTTTGACTCTGACCCAGCACCCTTGGCTAGCTCCCCTTGCCCAATCACAAGTAGAAAACCTCCAACCCCCTCTGACAAATCAGTCCAGATCTGCCCAAGAGGCAGGATTTTCTGGAATATTATTAGCAGTGAAATTGTTGCATATTTTCAAGCATGCATTGTAACCTGATTTTAAAGCCTGTTTGAACATCAGACATTGTGGCAATGGCAAGATGGTCCAGCCATATGAATACAATCTTAAAATATCATAAAAACAATGCAATTTAAGGCCAGACAGCCCAACTCCTGCGAACAGCCCTTTATTACACATTCGAAGCATCTCTTGAGGCATCAAAGTACAAGCATGCACATGGAATTACATACGAGTATGTGACATAAACCCACCATTGCACAACTTTGTCTGCAACAATGCAAATACAATCAAGCTGGAAACAGATTTTATCAGTATTTTGACATATATACATTATGGCTCATGTCTAAAGACACCTGCACTTTCATATTGAAATTGTTCTAATATCATCAAAACAAAACACATCAGAAAACTGTAACATCAGCCAAAGGAGCAAATCACTTTTTTAACACAATTTATGGCAAAATGAAGCAACATGTAATAGTATCTGAAACAAAACCAAATCACATATTATTCAAAAGTTGTAAACACTGTTGCATATAACAAAATATCGTCACATTTCTAATGGTAACTAACTATAAGTTAGGCCAATTTAAACTCGACTATGAAGAATATCAAAAACTAAAGGTCATGTTTCAGTTTATAAACCTAGACTTTAGTTTTATAAATATAAACATTAACGCTATACGAAGCCAATGAAGGCACATTTTGCCCTAAATACTCGGACAGAGCCTCAAAGATGTGTTCTAGTACACAATTAATCTTCTCTCACAGTTTAAAACAAACAATAATACTAACCTTCGACAAATTGTGTATAAATCTTATCGAATTTAACCATTTTGCCACAGATTTTGCCAAAAATATTTCTTAGACGGCCAAAGTATTAATGGACACTCCTTGCGTGAAAATGTTAATTTATCCCAAAGTGTGAATAAATTGATCCAATATTGCATATTTGCATAATAATGCACTTGTCATTGACCAATCAGAATACATAGAGGACCGGGCCGAGGGCCTTTTCCCGCCTTCCCAATGACAAAAAGGGAAAAGCCCTGGGAACGAGGTTGTAATTGATTACTGTCAATTATTGTTTCAAATCTACAATTTGTTTTACCCATTTGCCATGAGATTGTAAGGACTGTAACAATGAACAAAATGTTGTGTATATTATTTTATTAATTTATCTACAATCAGAGGAAAAATTAAGCAAGTACTGTTGACGAGTACTGTCAGTTAGTTATTAAGCTATTAGAGTTAATTTATATAAGCAGATTAATATTTTGTCCGATAGCCACCAGACTTAATTATTAGGTCAAGGCGTTTTTGCAAACTTACAATAAATTTATTTAACGAATTAACGTGAAACAATTACACTTAGCTACTCTCAGTTAATTTACAGGTAATGCCACGAATTTCTAACTATTATATATCTAAAATATCTACATAAATCAACTAAAAACTATTTACACAGTTATGTATCGAAAACATCCAGAATATGCTTAATGTCAAACTTATTTATACTATTTTTAAATGCCTTGGAGTTCTCTGCCGATCTAACTAGGTCACGGAGAGCGTTCCATAATTTGGCGGCTTGATACTGCCAAGACTTCAGTCCATATGTGGTCGAATTTACTTTGGGCAGTTTTAAAATATCTTTACCTCTAAGCGAGTATGTACTTTGTCTGAGATTTAGAAAGTCTTTCAGGCTTTCCGGTGAGTTAGAGTCGTTTATTAATTTATATACATTCGATATTATTTTCTTAACTCTTTGTTGTCTCGATGGTATAGTTCCTATTTTATTAAGCAGTTCTTCATATGGAGTAGATTTGTCATTGAAGACAAAACGAATTGCACGTTCATTGACTTTCTCCAACTTATCGGAAGATGACTTATTGCAGAAATGCCACCTTTCAGAACAATAATTAAAATGTGGAACGATGAAGGAAGTGTAAATACTTAATCTCGTTTCAAATGGAAGCAAGTTCCTCATACATTTTAGTATGCCAACTTGTTGAGAAACTTTGCGAAAAACTTTGCGACAAACTTTGTTTACATGCATGCCAAATTTCAGTTTTTCGTCAACCGTTACCCCAAGTAACTCTAAAACATCACTGTTCTTGATGACTGTGTTTTCGCAGGAAAATTCAGGTTTAATCTTGCATTTTCCCATTACAATGGCTTGATACCTTGTGTGATTTCTTTTCATTCCATTTTCTACGTACCATTTGTCAACGTTGGCCAAGTCAGAATTTATAGTTTCTTGAACTTTGACTGGATCTTGATCTGTGTGAAAGATTTGCGTATCGTCCGTGTATGCCGACAGTTTACTTTGATTTACAACATACACTAGATCGTTCATAAACATATTAAAGAGTAGCGGCCCCAATATGGATCCCTGAAGGACGCCAGCAGCGATATTTTGCCAGGTTGAGTAACTTTTCCTATACCTGACTCTTTGCTTTCTATTGGAAAGATAATCCTCAATAAGCGATTGTTTTATCAATGACATCATAAGGAATACTATTTAGGGCACATACAACTCTTTCCTGATGAAATTGTGAGAAATTCTCAGCTTCTATGCGCTTGTTTATAGCCTCTTCATGCAAATTAGACTTTACCAAATGAAATATATTTTCAATTGGATTTAAATCCGGTGACCAAGCAGGAATTTTTAGCAACTCGCTTTCAACACTACACAGTGCATTCATTGCGGCTTTACTGCTTTGCGAAGGATCATTGTCCATATCAAATAGACGTTTCCTGCCATGTTTAGGGCCGGTCTTAGCATAGCAAATGTTGAAATTGTTTTTGATAAAGTTGGCAAAAAATTCCCGTTCACTTTCTGGTATGATTTTGCAAGAATAACACCTTTTCCATGAGCAATACCAACCATGACATGGACTCTACGACCACCTGGCAAGCCTTTGCTTCCTTTGGCAGTTAAAATTAGCCCTTCTCCCTTTTTTCACCAAACTCTAGCCATCCCAGTGGTTGTCACTTACTTGGGTTGAACTTGTGGGTTGAACTTGTGTATAAACTAATAAACGATACACCATCCACATAGAATGACACTTCATTCGTCCAAAAGCTTGCATTTCGTTTCATGAACTTCTTCACTTTTCTACAAAATCGTCGCCTCAGTACCCTCTGTCTGTCTGACAGAATACCTTTCTTCCGTCTTTGGAGGAAACCATAGCCATTCTCATTTAGAATATGTGAACTGTCCGTCAACTAACAGCGTCGAAACTGAGACCAGTTTCCATTACAAGGGACGCAGGACTTTTAGCGTTCTTATCAAAGATCATACATTTCTTGAGTTAAGCTTTCGTGGCCTTTCCTCTTTCTTGCATACTTTTGTATTTTGCTCGTTTATTTGCACACTGCATATTTTGTGACTTGACGATTTTGAAATTTTGCACTCTTGCTATATGAAGCATTGTGTTTTACCCTTAATAAGTGGGCATAAGCTTTTTGAACTGGTGTGATTTTTTTTGCCTGGCATCCTTGTGTGGGCAACTGTGTTCTCAATCACTTACATCATGAATCAGTTTATAATGTGGTTGTCGAGTACATGTTAATTAGATGACATCAATGCACAATTTGATAAATGATTGCACTTAGACTAAATGCAGATGAAATAGTAAATTGTTCTTGTTTACATTACTTGCACAAATAATTCTCAATTATCTTAACACATTGGCTTAATTTCAATCTAAAATCGTATAAATTGCCTTATTTTAAGAATAACTGGAAAATATATTTAAAAACAGATATTTCATAGCAGTATGATCTTATTATTTATACAAAAGCATTTGAACTTTGATTGCACAATTCGTACCAGAGTAAGACCATGCATGATTGTCTTATATATAAGATAGCAAATATACTTGAGCAGCTTAGCAGAGTCACCTTAACTGAAGACGTAAATAATATGCACCCACAAATATGCCAATCATATTTGTTTTTTATACAGAATAAATTAGGGCAAGTATCTTGTACAAGGTAAAATGTGTTTTGCACGGAAAATAGCATAAAGCAATTTTCAGACAATCTTCGCCAAAAGTTCATAGAACAACCAAACAAATTCGCAACTTTTTAATATACTTCGGTTTTAAAATCATATTGCACCTCCCCCCGCTCCCCCCATTTAATGTTGGTTTCCCGCAATTCGAGTACACATGCAACTTTGTCTGTACAATATGTCAGACCATAAAAGTAGACAAAACGGCAACATTGAATGGGGGGGGGGGGCAGGCCTTAAAAATGCACAAAAATGCATCATCATCCTACGGTTTATAGCCAAGATTGTAGTCCAGTCCTCATAGTCGGATTTGAAATATTACATGAAAGCAAAATTTTCATCAAACCAACAATGTTACGCATATCAGTGCGATTATATGGAAGTGCCATGAAAGGATAAAAATATTAATATATTATATAAATTAAAGGGTGTGTTGTTTTATCTGATTCTGCTTTGTAAACTTTGCCTTGGGTGTGTTTTTGAGGTTATCGGTTCCTATGAGGCCAATATGTTTATTTACAAGTATACTCGTTATAATCTGCCTGAAAGCCACATGTGAAAATTTCAGCCAGGTTGTTTGTGGGATTTATTTGTGAACTTCTCCGTCAAGAACCTAAAACATATTAACTTTATAGCACCTAAGATCTATTTCAGAAGCATCTTGCCCAAGCGTAGTTTACAAACCAGATAATTTACCATGTGGATGAAATTAAACCTGTTTGCAGAAGACAGAATATTTATTATAATTATAAAAATAGAACAGTAGAAATTTTGTAAATAACTAGTATTCAACACAAGCAAAAGACTGAATATGTATTATAATAACAAAAAAATAAAGAGTATTCACAACACAAGCATTTAAACTATAAGTACAACCATAGCTGTCCAAAAATGCATCTTGAAATTTTTACCCTCGCACATGGGCGCTCAGGCATGCATCAGTCTACTCAGTTTTATATTATTATGTCATAATAATAAACTGAGACTCAAGATAAACTGAGAAAAATTTCAACGTGCATTTTTGGGCTGCTATGGTACAACAACTCCTTGATAATACATCCATGCAGAAACCCTCGCCTTACTGACAAAACCATTAATGGTATTCTCATACATACATACCTTTGGCTAGCTCCCCTTGCCCAGTCACAAGTAGAAACCCTCCAACCCCCTCTGACAAATCAGTCCAGATCTGCCCAAGAGGCAGGATTTTCTGGAATATTATTAGCAGTGAAATTGTTGCATATTTTCAAGCATGCATTGTAACCTGATTTTAAAGCCTGTTTGAACATCAGACATTGTGGCAATGACAAGATGGTCCAGCCATATGAATACAATCTTAGAATATCATAAAACAATGCAATTTAAGGCCAGACATCCCAACTCCTGCGAACAGCCCTTTATTACCAAGCCAGTGCTCTTTTGTTTCTGCTGCAAGAGAGACAGAAGAAGTCGTGAAGGTGGTAAGCTGCGAGATGGAAGTGGCGGTGTTGTTGTTGTTATTAGGACAGTTGCTAAGCACAAAGTCAGAGATATTCGGCTGCAGCATGGAACAGTCCAGGGGGTTTCCTTGTAAATCTATGCGCTTGGCATTTGGAAACTCCATCCAGAACCCTCGAAATGTTAAAACGAGTGATGTTGTTATTGCTGAAGTCGGCCGATTTTACCCAAGGCTTTACACTACTGCTGTATGGTATACTTGTTAGCTGTCTTCCTGCACAGTTGAGCAGACCAAAGGCAAAGTCGACATTCTCCCTCGCATCCTCATACAACATGACGCTACCAGCACAAGTAATACACAACAAAAGAAAGATAAAACATGCATTTTACGTGTTATGGTGTACTATAAATTCCTCGTAAATTTTATAAATGTATTTTCCCGCACAAACTCTTTAATGTTTTACTGAATGTAACTATAATAGCATAAAATCAGTGTAGTAAATTTGCTTTAGCTAGACATAGGGTTTTTTAGATTATAATACGCTGTACGTAGATGAATTGTTTATTGTATATAAATAAATTGTTTCATCTATTTTATTAATTTCCTGTTTTGTTGCAATGGAAGTGATACAGCAAATTTATATATAATATATAAATTCAAGTTAATGAGACAACACGTTTGTCACCTTCAAACCTGGTTATAATCTCATAGTAACAGGATAAGCTTGTCAACAGCCACAAAAAGGCGATATCCAATAGTCCAAAGTTAAAATGTTTCTCTCGGCATGTGTAAACCGAATGAAAGATCAACTGACCAATCATATGTCAACAACGAACACGCAGAACAAAGGTCAATGTGATAAGGGAGTTCACTTTGACAAATATCCCAACAAAGAGCAATGTCTTGTTACCGAGAAAGAAAATTTGAAAATTTGACTTGGTGCGGGGCTGCAAAGAATTACGGACATCGAATGAACTGAGACAATGTGACAGAAAAGAGTTTATGAACGCTGGAATTGACATATCATGGTTATATTAAAGAAAATTTGGTCAGTAACTCAGTATGATAATTCAGTGAGACGCAGTTTATTCAAATAGAACTCTACTGGACAAGCGCTTTTACTCTTCTGGTGGACAAAGGAATACGTTGGCCAAAGTCCTGACGAAGTTATTACCATTAAACGAAACTGCCGCTGGGGGAATAACAACAAGATCAATAGGCTAAAGCCCGCTAAACACAAAATCATCAAGCGTTCAATTGATATCATTCCATGTCTCAATGCACATGCTTCCTAAAGTGAAGCGGTATTCGGCGCGTAAGTATGCAGTGCATTGACACGTTTGTTTCGTATTCCGGATCTCAAACCAACCAAAATGTATTAAAATTCGTCTATTTTATAACAACATTCTGGTGTATTTATATTTGTCGATCAAAAATTCCAATGACAATTTTATTACTACCTTGAGGTTAGCTGCAGTTTAAGGCTTCAGATTATGCCTCAGATTTGGCATTGGATTGGGTTTCAATCAGGCCTTACATTAAACTGTATTCAATTGCTCAAAAGTAGAATTATAAAACTTCTTTTTCAGCTATTTCACAAAATTAATTTGACCTGCATACATTTTCAATACTTTACTGTTCAAAACTTAAGAAAGCAAGCTCATTTGTGAACGAAATTTGAGACTTAAAACTCTGCACATGATATACGTTTAGGTACATTTGCGATAAATCGGCAAGATGGATATCAGGAAAGATTGGTACGATACCATGTATGTGCGCCTACGCTTATGAAAATTGAAAATCCTTTGATGTACTATTATTTACTGCATATAATCTATTTTGACTACCAAATACATATTCTTACAATTTCTTTCTGCTAATATCATGCATGCATCATTGGATGTTCGATCGCAAAATTTTGGTCTTGCTATTTTGAATTAAAGTAATGAGTAAGCTATTTTTCTGAGAGTAATGTCACATAATTCGAGAGAGTTCCACCGATCATAATTGAAATAAAACAAGTGTGGTTAACAAATAAATGTTGTGCAAAACATATTCATGAACACATTAACTTTAAAAAAAAAAAAATAAAATAAAAAAAAGTGCCTCGATAGTGAGCTTTGTTTGCCTTGTTACCAACCCTCCAATTAAAAAATTGTAAGATAGAAGCTTTGTGGGGAAGCTGCTGGTTGTCCTGGCCCCTTCCAGGTTTCCTGTATATTCCAGGTTTTTTCTGGCCTCCCTGACTATCCAGCTATAGTATGAGTGATGGTAACGCCCAAATATATGTCTAACTATCATCTGGCAGCAGCTGTCTTGTATACAAATACAGCTGTGGTGGGAGTTCGTCTATGGGGAATACACATGCTGTGTATTTGTGGGGTTGAAGTGTTCCCAATGGTCAACTTCAGGCCCATAGACTCAGGTTATTTATGTAAATATAATCAGTCGAATCATAGGTACTGTCCAGGGGATTATCACCCCTTGGTTCAGGTCTATATCAGAGGGGGTCGCTACCCTTCAGGCAGAGCTCCTATGGAGCATTCAGTCTCTCCTAGCAGGTCTTATATATATGCCTGCAGGATGAAAACATAAGGCTTAATGAGTCTTTGGGTTAATGAGTCTTTGGGTTGACCAGAGTTTGAGAGTATAATGTATATAATTGGTTCACTTCACCCTGAACCCATTCTCCCACAATGATTTGGTGTGTGTTTTACTTATTTTCGGGCTGTTCTTTCACCTAACGTGCTTGAATTATTAATAAATGAACTTCGGGAAAATGGAGTTGATATTGATTTGGGAAAACTATCTCATCACGTCAATGATTTGCTTCGGCGTCACAAAGCGGTGTACAATCAAATGGTAGTGAATGTTAATCCTGATGAAATGCATGTTGTTTTTAACATGATCGACATGACTAATTTTGGCCGTGCTATGGCTTATTTGACACTAGTTTATTTGATGCACAATTCCAAAGATACTACATGCAGGGCTGTTCGTTTGGTTACAGCCCCTTTGAAAAGCTTTGATCTTAGTGCGTTTCGAATCCAAGAGACTTTTTCCGTAGAATGATCAGACAGGTGTTTAAGATATAAACCGACGGACATGTCAAATCATAATGCAGTATGTGTTCTGCACGTGAACACGATGGACGTGAGATTTAAAACACCTGCAAATTTTTATATATCTGGGCACAGTCAAAGCGGGAAGTCTTTATTTGGTTCGTTCCATGTTACGGCATGCAAGAGGAACTATTTAATCCCATGCCGACTAAAATAATATACTGTTATGGCATATATCAGAAGGAATTAGAAGAAATGTTGTAGACAGTGTCCAATTTAACTCTCGTGGAAGGATTTCCCGATAATTTATGCGAGATGACCCGCGGACATGATAACTCGTTAGTCGTGCTCAATGACTTAATGTCTCAATGACCCACGTGTCTCGGATTTGTTTACACGCGATTCCCATCACTTGGCATGGTCCCGTGCTGTACCTTACCCATAATTTGTTCCCACCGAGCGAACGTTCTCGAACGATTAGTTTGAATAGTCACGCTCTCATCGTGTTTAGGAATCCATGTGACTCGCTTGGTGTTTCCACACTTGCTAGACAGATGTTTCCTAAACATACCAGATACCTTTTGGATGCATTTCATGATGCGACAAAAGGGCCTTACGGATATTTAGTCGTCGATTGTCATCAGTTGACGCCGGAAAATATGCGTTTGAGGACCAACATTTTACCCGAACAGAAACAGACTGTTTATGTGAAACGTGCTTAAAAGCTGAACGTGTATTGAAAACAGATCATTTTCAAGATGTCGAAGTGCATGAAAGGAAGTCTGCCGTATCTTCAGATCATGGGGAAATGTGGACCTAAACTACGTAAATTCATGATCAACAACGTTCCCCCGGAGGTCATCACAGCTATCTGTGAGTGTTCCTTAAACTTGCTTAACTCATTAAGTTGCAGACTGTTGCAACATTGGCACTCCCCAAGTTGCAAGGAAAATGGCGAATTTTAGTTACTGTCAACTTCTGTCAACTGCTTTTACAAAAATACCCATATCTCAAGATCAATGTTATAAAAAACCTTGAAATTTGGCAGTGGGTTAAAATGATAAATGATTAATCAATTCTATTTTAAATGAGCTCCCACACTTAAATATATCATTAGATTTTTGGGTGAGAATTCTTGGTTTGTGTAAATTTAAGTCTCTGACATTTTGTTTCTTCATGACACCCAACATCTAAAGGGCAATAATTCAATAACCCAACATAAATGGAGAAATATTTTTTGATTCCTGGATTGGTACACATTTATTTTCAAATTAGTTTTCATCTTGTAGGGTATAAATTACAAAATAATGAAACGCTATAAAAATTTGCTTGGGCATAGCTCAGGCACACTCAGGACATCTAGTTTACAATGGAGAACTTGAACTTCAGAACTTGTTGTTCAAGTTCAAAAACTCTGTAACCCAAAAACACAGTGTTTGTACCTCTTTGAAGTTTTTAAATAGCTCAAATATGTTTGGAAAAACACGAAGTACAAAAATTACTAATTAAAATATAAACAAAGGATGAAAAAGGTGAGAAAATTTTAAAATATTTGAGGTGTTTTCAATTCTGACTGTGACAGCCGGCATTTTCAAACGCAGCATGCGGTGACAAAACAAAAGGCTTTTTATTTCGCTATTAAGAGCACCGAAAGTCGTCAAAAAGAGATAAACACTTTTGAATATTCATCAGGTAAGAATTTTAACTCAAATTCCTTTTGTTTCTGTTGAGAAAACAACGGATTTGTGGCTAAAACGTTGTGCGCGCGAATGTAGGTTGCTGTAAAATGTCAGACAGGCGGTTTCTTTTGAAATCTGACTCTAGTTTGAAATCTGACTCTAGCTTGAAATAAGTCCTTTTCAAGGACCAATTGTATAAAAATATAATATGTATGCTCAAATAAAATGAATAATCTAATATTTAGGCATTTTAGATTGCTATAAAAGAGTGAAATAAAGTATTTCATCTTTGGTTGTTTGTCAGACGAGAGTAAACACATTGGTGACACTTTGTTGCGCATGCAGTTTTCAAAAGATAAACTGCTAAAAATATGGCCTTTATTTCACCAAATAGCAAAGTATCTTGCAGATATTATTAAAAGAGCTCAAGCGAAGTAATTCCATGATAAATAAGTGAACAATGAGACCAAAAAAGCGACTAAATTACAATTTTGGAAAGTACATAAATTTAATGGCTTCCTGCAAAAGAAGCCATTTCAGAGGAGAACGGCATTTTGTAAACTACTCTCCTGACCTATTTTAAACTTTTCCTTCAGGTAATCGATGAGTACTAGTACGAAAATGAGCGTACATTAGTTTTATGATGTGCTTTATTGATTTAAAAATTTTATGGGGATATATGAAGCAATAAAGTGTATTTTAGAAGCTTTTCAAATCCCTGTCATGAAGGTTCAGAATTCGCGCCCGCCAAGTAACGGCATAATTCAATACACTGATTTTAAACCACATTATCTCCGAAATGAGAGCTCGTTTAGAGACAAAGTTTATAGAAACAGATATAGTATTCATTGTAGAGTATTCTACTTAGTTTTAATGCGGTTTTACTCGAAATTTTTCTTGCCAAAAATGTATATACGCACATGACAAGTTGAACCTACTGTCTTCTGAAAGTACTTCAGCTAAAATAACAACTTGAGCAAGACGACCAACAGTAGGGTCACGAAAACAGTCCAAATCATGCCATAAAATGCACGAAAAGTTCTTCTAAAAACTTAGTTTTAAACTAGATTGAACTTGCTTTAATGCTATATCGTATTTCATGAAAACATGCCAGGTATTTTCATTCAAAAACACGCTCAAAAAAATCGTAACCACTCACTTGGATTTAGTGTTCATGTTTCTTGCGATTTCCCACTTCACTTTTCTGTTAGATTGAAAGAAATTGCTGTTTTTCTGGCTGAAAATCGCGCGACTTGATTTGGACAAGAACTTGACTTGAAACATATGCACACTCCCTTATGTTTTACAATATATTTTATATATAAAACACTTTAAAAACCTCTTCTTTTTCATCCTTAAAACTTGCTGCAAAGTCCTATCTTGTGACACTTTGCGGTTGTCACACGTTTTGTAAAAAAATAGAGTTTTAAAATCGAAAATCTTTGTAAACTTTTGATCAATTTTCTCGCATGATGTATCGTTTGAAAGCCCGAATTTTGCACTTTATACTCGTGACCGTTGCTAGGCAACCCGATAAATACGTGCTAGACAATCGTGCCCGGAAGTTGACGTGTCATCCAGGGCGCAATGAGACTTACCCTGTTCCCAATTCCAGGGCGCATGGGGGCACAATGAGACTTAATGAGTTAAAGGTGTCATCCCATTATCACCCCAAAAGCGACGTTTAGTGCATTACAAAACACATCTCTGTGATTTGGCCAGTAAAAAAGTATCGAGAAAATGGAAAAAAACGCCATAATCAAAAAGCTGGAAATTTATTGTTAGCTCTCTTACCACCCATGTTGAGTGTACTCGGAAGTTTATTAGTATGAAGCATGCAAAACGAATGGTATTGGTCCCGGAGGACGTTTTTAATCGTTATGAGCAGAAACAAAAGATTGAAACCTCCCCCATTACATCTAATATGATGCATCAGGATATGGCGATGTCAGAGATTCTCCAGAGTACAGACATGTCCGATGTCGAAAAACAGAAAATGTACAATGCGAACATGTAAAGTTATTTGAGTTTGAAGCGACAGAAGGACGATCAAATACCAACTGTTCGGATTGCACAGGATGCGTCCAAAGAGAAAACATCCTTATCTGACGCGGACATGATCGGTCATTTACCTGTAACTCTGTGCTAGAAAGCAGCAACTCTTTTGAAACGTCTGAAAGCAAGACCCGACGTTTTTTTCCTGGGACGAATCCGGGCAAGTGAAAGTGGATGGCAAAGAGATTCCCGATTCAAATATATCAGATTTGGTCAGTGACGCCATGCGGGCATGCAAGAATTTTAATCCTAAGGGAGCACAAGAATTTTTTCGTGGATTGTCAAAGATTAATGTGCCAAAAGATATTGCAAGGAATACAGAGATGGAAGGAAGTTCAAATGGATGAACCAATTGTTTTAAAAACACCCCCGGGGCAACCACTGTCAGCATCACCACATGCAAGTCCCGTGGAATATTGCCGTAACTTTATAAGAAAACAGACGGCGAAATCCAAAAAATGGGTTAATTATTAAAATGTTGTAACTGTTTGCATGTATTAATAAAAATGTTTTAAAACCAATTTTGTATTGGCATCAGTTCTTTGGGGCAGCGTTTTAATGCACATTTCCCATGTGGGACGTGAGTTTGTATGCATGCTCAGAATAAAAAAACACACAGTACAGTTTTTTACAACAATTTTATTGAAAAATTTTTTACTGAACTGGTTAAGGTTAACATTGGAATGTTTTAACAATATCTTAAAATGTCTCTTAACAAACTGGGATACCTTTGTATCATTTAAGACTGTGTCGTTGTTAAATAAATGTACGATATTACTCATGCTCTGGCCTCTTGCTCTATGACTAAGGTAAAATATGCAATACTGGCCATTTGACCAAGCACTTTGCAATTTACGTCTATTAAAATCCCATACACGCCGCAAAACTTCTCGCTTGTTACGAGATCTTGTTCCAAGACATCGGTTATCTGGGCAGTATTCATCCAGAGTAATCGTAGACAACGTTTCTTTCGGAGTCGATGTGAATGGTATTCTCAAACTCTCCGTAGCATACGAGACTCGCTGCATTTGCAGACGCCACGGAGAACTGGATATCAATGGCAAAATTTCCTTTCTGCACCACATTAAAATGAGGAGAAGCTCCACACATATCCGGTGTCAGGTCAAAGGCGTACACGGCGTAGCCTTTGGGAATTCTTCTCGAGATATATTGTTTCCTGTGTTGTAGTACATTTTCCCCCGTGCCAGAAAACAGGGTGCTGAATGCTTCGATATATTTAGGTGCTGCACCATAGGAAAGCTGCAAAGGTTTAAATGGCGTTTCTTCTCCGTTGACGGTTATTTCAATGGTAGACACGTTGAAATGTTGAAAATTGTACGGATTCTTTTTCAAAGCACCATTTAAACGCTTCGCTTTCGTTAAATGCTTCGCTTCCATTCTGAAGACAAATGTTTTCGGCACCACTCCATTGAAAAGGTTATCTTTCCTTAGGGAGGGATTTCCTGCGGGAACGATGAAGCTCTTGCATTCGATGTGACAAATAGGATAGATAGCAGGTCCTTTTTTCAATGCAATTTCAATGGGCCACGGAAATGCTCGGGTTGACTTTCACTTTACGTATCTTGAGATAAGCGTCGGTGAGTTTCACCTGGTAGTCGACACCGTCTTCGGAGGCCATCAAACAGAACTCGTCACTGCGTCGATTCAAAATAACTTTCAGATCTACGTAACTCAGCAGGAGACGTTCGGACATGAATATGTCGCTGAATATGGGACCGGTCATTTCAACAGTTCCACTTGCTTTGCTGAAAACGTATCTTGCTCTAAGCCCTGCATTGCCTGCGGCACCAGCCGTAGTAGGATCTGCGATGTCCATTTTTCCTGTAGTATCTTTGTAATACAAAGCAGCAGTGAGCTGTGAATCTTTTGCGGAGGGACCATAATTCAAGAGGGTTTCCAAGTAAGCATGGTACGCATAGGTTCTGGTAGCCTGTGTGACTTGCTTCCCTTTCAAAAAGACATCCACTTGTTTGAACAGGCTGTGGAGTAAATTGTTCACCACTCCAACCTTAAACAGATTTGAAAAAAATTAATATTTGGAAACGATGTATTCACTGTGAAAAATACCATACCTTTTCGTCTGCGTTGAGATCCGTACCATCGGCTTTTGTCACTTTTGCTCTCACCACGAGAATCGTTCTAGAAAGGTCCACATAATCTTCAGTGCCCGGAGACAAACGTGATGGGACCACCATCAGCTTGGGCCAAGGTGGAGTGAAAAAAAAAGAAAAAAAAAGAAAGAATGAAAAAAGAAAAAAACAAAAAGAAGAAAGAATGAAAAACAAGAAAAAATGAGAGAACAAAAAAAAAGAGAAAAAGAATGAAAAAAAAGAAAGAATGAAAGAACTGGGCCAAGGTGGAGTGACTTGCATTTCCAAAACCATAGATGTTACCAAAACAGACAGATAGGAGGCAATTGACCATTTGTGTAATAGACAAAATTTTGATCTAGACAAGTCTAGACAAAAATTTCATCACAGCTTGAAAGATGATCACACAATTAGCAATATTCCAAAGTTTCGTTGCGAAATGTTGTAAAATGCGGATAATATCGCCTTGCCAAGTTTGCCGTTTTTCAGTCATTTTAGATTACAAATGGGAAATTGACAGCCTCAAAGCATATCAGGCTGTCAATTTCCTGTTTGTAATCTAAAATGACTGAAAATTGCAAACTTCACAAGGCGATATTATCCACATTTTACAACATTTCGCAACGAAACTTTGGAATATTACTAATTTTGTGATGCTCTTTCAAGCTGTGATAAAATTTTTGTCTAGACCAAAATTTAGTCTATTATGCAAATGGTCGATTGTCGATTGTGCACCATGTAAAAACCTGTGACACAGGCTTCTGCACAAACTACGCCATCATTCGTTAGTTAACTCTACAACCAGTACCTAAAAATACAAATTTGTCTTACAAATGTATACACGGTGGTCGGTTGCTAAGCATTTTGCTCCCGCTAAGGTTTCAATTACGTAATTAGAACTTAGCATCATGCGGTTCCATTTTCACGTGAAGTACGCTACGCGATTTTGCGCGTCCTATATTTTCACTTTTTTGTATCTTATCGACTAAGTTAAGCTAGAAATAGGAAGATATATATCTCATCTTGACCATAAAATTCCTTTCAGCCTAACATAATTTACCTAAATAGAGAAATATTGCTCCAGATTGCCATAACTTTTTATGTCACTTTGGGGTTTACACGGTCACATGGAAGGCCTAAAATGACTTTCAAGGGGTCCCTAAGTAAGATAATGTATATACAAACCCCTTGACAACCCCCCCTTAATTTTAACAGCGCAAGAGGAATCAGCCAATAAGTTACAAATTTGTCAATTTTCGCAGTTTATTGGAGAAAATGAGATTGTTAGACTGCACTAGATCGAAAATTCTCAAGGGGAAAATTTAGATTTACCAATTATTGACTTACATGAATGGTTAGTTGTTCAAAAGGAAAGCAAGAAAGTGGTCTGTAAACCGCATGTAATTTTCATACGTTGCCTTGATGTGTTGTGCCATATTTCTTTACTTCGCCTCCTGCTGCGTGTCTTGAGTTAGCTGGTTTCTTTACTTTGATAAAAGCTTATCGCATGCCTTACACAAATTTTATTTACATTAATATAACTACAGAAGACTGAGGTATAGTTTACAAAAGAAATCAGTTGCACATGCCTTTACTTAAGCTCCGATGAGGGAGCCGTGTTCTCACTAAAGATAACATGCCTTGGTAATCTGATAGTGACAGACGTACGGGAAAACCGTCATGAAAATCGCTTGGAATTGTAACTAAATTATAAAATTAAGTGTGCGCAAAGACATGAAATCTATAAAAAGGTATAGTTTACAAAAGAAATCAGTTGCACATGCCTTTACTTAAGCCCGCTGAGGGAGCCGTTTTCTCGCAATAAAGACAGATTGGTAATCTGATAGTGGCAGATGTATGTATTATGTTCCTCACGGCACAATAGCTTGGAATTGTAACTATAAATGATCAAATAAAGTGTTCGCAAAGACATGAAATCTGTTTCAAGAAAAGCTGCGTATCCTAAGAAATTTAAACCACTAGTATATATGTTACTATTATATTATTTTATGTGGTTACGCGGATCTCGTACAGTATAATTCATATAAATTTAGTATACCTAGGTATGATTGCACTCTAGCTAAATCTGCTATGTATTTTGTCATCGATACAATGGAAGTATGTGTTTATATATCTCAAAAATACATCATACACAGACATAAAATGAAAACGTTTAATAGAACATATTCTGATATTCATCAAACAAATTCTTGCGTGAACTATAGCTAGATTTGTTGTCGCCAACCAAAACAGTTGGCATGTTTCTCTGTCTGTATACTACTTCAAGATATATAGTTACACTGTATTAGTAGCGTCAGACAATTTCCCTAAAATTACCTGTATATACTAATGAAGAAACACAAATTTAGGCGAAAAGACGGACAGTGTGTACATTGGTTTGCGTTCCGCAATATGAAAGATAAACTGTGAAGGAGCAAATTAAATATCGCGGCCACGCTAGAGCTATTCGAAGGCAATTAATAATTCCGATTGTTATTTGACAGCTAAAAATAAAATTATCACGATCGTTCCATTTAAGTATTGAAGTTTATAAATCTGTTAAAATATACCCAATAAATTTGTTCTAACAGCAAGAAATTTTAAGCCAAACAGGCATGGCCCTTCTGATTATTATAAAGTAAAACGACGCCATTTCCCATTCACACTAACACCGCTGGAAAAAACGAAGCCCGCGCTTCCGGGAGCAAAATGCATAGCAACCTAGATCACCTTTTTGAAGAGATGATGCTCTTTAGAAATCGAAATTTGTATATTATATATACAGCGACAATCAAACAGTCGAAAATTGCTCAGAAAAGTGACGTCACCACTGTTGCTATGGCAACAATGACGATTCAAGATGGCCGATAGTTTGGCTTTGAACGCATTTTACTTTAAAAAAAGGTCGGTTACCCCCATTTTTTATTTCAGAAAACATTTTCTTATAGTGCAATGCACTATCTGACCAATTTTAAAAAAATTGTGTAATGCAAAAAAAAAATTATTTCGAAAAACCATGTTTATAAATTTTTAAAAAATTTGGCATTACAGAATTTTTTTTAAAATTGGCCAGATAGTGTATTGTACTATAAGAAAATGTTTTCTGAAATAAAAAATGGGGGTAACCGACCTTTTTTTAAAGTAAAATGCGTTCAAAGCCAAAATAACGGCCATCTTGAATCGTCATTGTTGCCATAGCAACAGTGGTGACGTCACTTTTCTGAGCAATTTTCGACTGTTTGATTGTCGCTGTATATATAATATACAAATTACGATTTGTAAAGAGCATCATCTCTTCAAAAAGGTGATCTAGTTTACGCATTTTCAACATTTCTATAAACTGTAGCGAGCCACCTTAATTTATGTTATTGTTTTACTAATAGTTTAAGAAGCGTATTCCAACTCCTGAATGTAAAAATACCTGTTTCTTACCGCTACATTACATTACATTACATTACATTACATTACATTACATTACATTACATTACATTACATTACATTACATTACATTGCATTACATTACATCACATCAAACAACGAAGCTTTTGGGGGGACACACGGTAGATATTAAATTCTTGGCTAGAAACCGACATAAAAGAAAAGTAGTGAAAAGACAGCCTACGTGGCGTCTCTCAAAATGCAAGTAAAGGAGAGCCTGCACGAGACCTACTGTTTTGCCGTATGTACTCGTTAATTTAGAGAACGAGAAACTTGATTGGTTAAAAATAAGAAAATATATAATTTATCCTAATTCGGATCGCATATCGTTGATATATCATTGGTATGCAGAATTTAAGTTAATTAGCATATATAATTTAATTTAGTCACGAGTTAAAAACAATACACGGTTGGATGTTTTTAGAATGTTTTGGTTAAAGATATCATATACGGTCAACCGTAAGTGTGGCAGTAAATAGTAGTAATATAGGTACGTTCGTCCCGGATTTTTGAGGCGGCGCATTATATTTAGCATAACATGGGGAAGAGTGAGCTGATTAAATATTTAGAGTGAGCAAGTGGCAGATGAGGGCGGTGGAATGGTGCGCAATGACATCATAATAAATGCATTACGTCATAATAATATGCAAGGCGAGTTTGAGCAGGTTTGGGCGAAACAGTCATTAAGATGAGTTCAAATACAGTTAATCCTAACTCTTATTATCACAATAGCCTAAGCGTCCTTACAGAATTCGACCACATTCGTACGTTTGAGCGTTTTTACGCTGCCAAAGCAATACGATATAGAGCTTCTAGACGCTTAAACCATACCTGTGTTAAAAGCGGCTTTCTGATTGGTTTAGAGCAGGTGATCTTGTCGTCGAGCTCATCTGCTTTTTGCCGAACTCACCTGCTTTTCGCTCGAACTCACCCGCTAAACTGCTTACGTTGCAATAACAATAACAAATATGGCGGACAAGATTTATAGCCGATAAACCTAAACTTTAAAGCACTTTTTTCGGTGACTAACATACTGAGACTGAAGAAAACCAAAGAAAAAATGCAGTAAAGGTAATGTAGACGTAGATAAAGAAGTATTTTCTTGCCCAGTAATTTTTTTGGCTGGGAAAATGTTCACAAAACATCGACGAATATATCGCGAAGAGCTACAAATGTTTGTATGGCTCAGTGTATGGGATAAAAATCAAACGTACTTGCAGGTTCGGTGAGTCCGGGATTGGACGCACCTCGGGTGGCTGGAAGTTTCCCGAACTCACCTCGCTTCGCTCGGTAAGTTCGGGAAACTTCCCGCCACCCTCGTTGCGTCCAATCCCGGACTCACCTCCCTGCAAGTACGTTTGTTATAAAAACCTGCTCTCTGTTCGACCACAAAACGTGGCGCATTTTGGTTCTGTGCACAAAACCTAGCTGCAAATTCTTTTCCCGAGATAAAGATTGCTAATATCTTCACGATAACCGTAGAAGACTTTAGAAAGACTTGCCCTCAACATCCCAAGTTTGTCCATCAAAGACCGGCAAAGTTACGCACAGTTAAAGGCAAAATGAAGCAAAAGTACGAGCGCCTATTCTTTGTACACTATGAACGAGAACATCCGTAAAATTTTGGCAATAGGGAGACGTATTTGAACGGACATAATCTGTGTGCC